GTGAGGGACAGGGTGGGAGATGGTGGGATGTGGTGGGAGATGGGTGGGACAGGGTGGGACACGGGTGGGACACGGTGGGAGACGGGTGGGACAGCCCTGGGACACGGGGATGGGGTGAGGGAGACAGTGCGAGAGGGTGGGATGGGGTGGGAGATGGGTGGGACACGGAGATGGGTGAGGGACAGGGTGGGAGATGAGTGGGACATGGTGTGACACACCTGGGACACGGGGAGGGGTGAGGGACAGGGTGGGAGAGGGTGGGATGGGGTGGGAGATGGTGGGACATCCCTGGGACACGGACATGGGGAGGGGTGAGGGAGATGGTGGGAGATGGGTGGGACAGGGTGGGAGATGGGTGTGACACCCCTGGGACACGCTTGGCACACGGCTCGGACATGATGTGACAGCCCAGGGACACCGTGAGACCCCTGTGACCCCGTGTGACCCCTGTGACCCCGGTGTGACACGTGTGACCCAGTGTGACCCGTGTGACACGTGTGACCCTGTGTGACACATGTGACCCCGTGTGACCCCATGTGACTCCTGTGACCCCATGTGACCCCGTGTGACCCCATGTGACTCCTGTGACACGTGTGATCCCGTGTGACCCATGTGACTCCTGTGACCCCGTGTGACCCCATGTGACTCCTGTGACATGTGTGACCCCGTGTCACATGTGTGACCCCGTGTCACACGCGTGTCCCCACCTGCACGGCCCCCAGCGCGTGCATCTCGCAGGGCAGTCGCTTCATCCGCTCCAGGAACGCCCGGAGCTCCTCCAGCGGCAGCGGCGGCGCCGGGACCCTGCGGGGACACCCGGGGACATGAGGGGACACCCGGGGACACCCAGGGACACCCGGGGACACCAGGGGACACCCAGGGACACCCGGGGACACCCGGGGACACCGAGGGGACGGTGACACTGCGGCGACACTGCAGGGACACGGGGACAGGGAGGGGATGGGGACACGGGGACTCATGGAAGGGCTACAGGGAACAGAATGGGGACAGGGACGTGTCCAGTGTCCCCTGGGGACAGGACAGGGACAGGGGACAGGACAGGGATAGGGAAGTGTCCAGGACAGGGACACAGCAGTGTCCAGGATGGACAGGGGACAGGACAGGGACAGGGACATGTCCAGTGTCCCCTGGGGACAGGACAGGGACACAGCAGTGTCCAGGATGGACAGGGGACAGGACAGGGACAGGGAAGTGTCCAGGACCTACAAGGGACAGGACAGGGAAGTGTCCAGTGTCCCCCTGGGGACAGGACAGGGACACAGGAGTGTCCAGGACAAGGACAGGGAAGTGTCCAGGATGGACAAAGGACAGGACAGGGATATGAAAGTGTCCAAGACAGGGACACAGGAGTGTCCAGCTTTTATGGGGACAGGACAGGGACATGGAAGTGTCCAGGACTCACAGGGGACAGGACAGGGACAGGGAAGTGTCCAGTGTCCCCCTGGGGACAGGACAGGGACACAGCAGTGTCCAGGACCCACAGGGGACAGGACAGGGACACAGGAAGTGTCCAGCATCTATGGGGACAGGACAGGGACATGAAGTGTCCACCTTTTATGGGGACAGGACAGGGACACAGGAAGTGTCCAGTGTCCACCTGTGGACAGGACAGGGACACAGGAAGTGTCCAGCATCTATGGGGACAGGACAGGGACATGAAGTGTCCAGTGTCACCCTGGGGACAGGACAGGGACATGAAGTGTCCACCTTTTACGGGGACAGGACAGGGACACAAAAGCACAACAGGCACAGCAAACCGAGCACGTTGCGCCTGGGGCCGGGCACACGGGGACGGTGCCCGGTGCTGGTGCCACTGAGCTGCTGAGGACACTGAGGGGACAGCAGGGGACAGCAGGGGACAGCAGGGGACACTCACCCGGTCTCCTGGGAGCTGATGAGCCCCAGCGCCTCGGACACGCAGCGCTCGGCCTGGCCCAGGCAGCCCTTGAGGCGGTGCAGCAGCTCGTTCTCGGGGAACTTGCGCTCCCTCGCCTCCGACTCCAGCGCCCGCAGCTCCTCCAGCGCTGCCCGGGCACAGCCGGGGGGGTCAGGGCTGAGCTCTGAACCCCCAAACCGCCCTTCAGAGCCCCCCAAAAATCCCCCCAGCAGCAGCACGGGACCCCCACTCACTGCGCTTGCGGCCGTCCTCCACCTCCAGGGCGATGCGCACCTTGTTGGCCCAGGTGTCGAAGGACTCGGCGCGCACCTTGAGCTTGTGCAGCATGGCCGGCAGCTCGTCCAGGGTGTAGCGGTACCTGGGGGGCACCGGGGGTCACCTCGAGCACCCCACGGGCGCCCACGACCCCCCAAAAGTACAAACGGGACCCCCCAGGCTGAGCCGATGGGGTATGGGGGGGGTTCTGGGGGGTGGTGGCCCGAATCGGCAGAGAGACCCCAGGCTGTGGCTGTGTTGTCACCCCAGGGACACCCCGAGATGTGCAGCACCCCCAGATCGTGCCCAGGGTTTCATTCAGGGTCACACCAGGACCCACAGACCCCCAGATCAACCCCACGGGTCACAGCGAGGCCCCCCCAAACCTCACCCCAAATCTATGAGAGCCCCCCCCAAA